TTTTATTACTTATTTTATGCTGTAGAATAAAAAAGATGCTTGGAGGATAGAAACAGACTTGCAGATGGAAAAAAAACGAAATTTAGTTATAGAAAGTATTTAATCAGAGGGGCTTGATAAAAAAGCACGCTTTTAAGATTGTACTTTAAAAAATCAGAAACGATAAAACCATTTTATCATTTACCCTTTAAAGGTTTAGAGGACAATCTTTTATTTCTGGATGGATCATATTAATAAGTGGTCCTCCTAATTGTCAATCATTCTGGAGATATTTTTATGTAAGACGCTCCTACATGCTTGTCCCGTTAGCTATCTTTTTCTGTGCATGCACACTTTCAGGCGTATATCTGTGGTGAGCTATGGTTTCAGACAGTCATTGAAGCTCACCTTTCTCTTGGGGGTTCTTTGAAAATGGCAGAGGGTTGCAAGAAAAAAAGTATCTACAAAGTGTATGAAAAGACAAGAAAGGCCTCAGAAGAGGCAGATATATCCAAGAATGCTTTGCGCAGAGAGCTCTCCTCGCAAAGCATTATGGGATTTCCTGTTGCTATAGGCTGTCGCTACCCAACAGCGGCGACCAATAAATAAGATGGCACAGGCGCTGCGCAGAGCAGGAGGAGTAATGTGACCAACGAGGAGCAAAAAGTCCAAACAGTTAGTTAATTGAATTCGCAATAAAGTCTACTATATAGTCCCCGCTCTATATAGTGATTGAGGGATTTAGGGGTTAGGATGGACGTTCGCACACAGTAAGCTTGTATGAGCTATGAGAACAGAAACTTTTAAAGGACAAATTGGCTCCTGCATGCCCTCACATGCATTTAATAGAGTTCTTCTCTCGGAAGCGGGTACAGGGTTGTGCATGTGTATTTTCTTTTAAGTGGAGAGGGCAGGTCTTTTAAAAATTCACAAAAATCCTCCACAATACCTTTAAGTCACAATCATGTTAAAATGATGCTGTTCTATTATTTGAAGAGTCAATATAAAACATTGAAGAATAATAAAAAGGGTTTGATTGGAGAGAGTACGTTTGAAAGGCACTGTAAATGCCAACTATAGTTAAAAGCAGTAGCTTTGACTTTAACAGAAGTGAGCTTGCTTAATCAGTTCCATCTGAGAATGACTGACATGAATCAGTCTGCTACATAAATGAGTGTCCTTGTAGAGACAATCGCCAACTGAAAGGCTCCTAAGTTCAGTCCAGTTCCTCTCAGAGATGATGTAATCATCACCACAAAGTGACACAGAAGAACGCTTTCTGTCAGTGAGTCACTTTGTTCCACACTGCAGCATTCACCAAGCCACAGACAGCTGCTAACAGAAGGGAGCCTCGAACGCTTCTCAGAGCATAGTCTGCGTACTTCTTCAACCCACAGGATGGAATTGGTGGCATTTTCCCTCCAAACACCCAAGCTTTTCCCACAGCCCCCAGAGCAGTGAGGCAGAGCCGTTGCTGGTTCTAGGTCAAGAGTGTGACTTAGACTGGCGCTCTCTCAATAACTCTGGCCAACGTGTGTCATCGTAATCCTTTAGTTATGCAAATCTTCCCCTGTCTTGGTGCCGTTTGAGCCTATGCAGAGAGTAAAAGATGGCAGCACAATTTAGGTCAGTATCTTGTTCCGATACTCTACATTTATCAAGTAGGCCTAAGACTTTCCTCATTAGCACATCTCTGGCAACTGCAGAGAAATGCCCAGTCAAGATGCACTGAGATGTCTCCCGTTTTATCCTCCTGTTTTTGCATTGATGCTAACAGGACATAAGGCAGGGATATAGGGATATTGTTATCTTCTTAAACAGATTAAATGTTGTCTGTGCAGAGTGAATAAACATCACTGGAAAGTGTGTCAACCTTTTGAGAGAGCAGTGACGCTTCAGACAATAGAGCAGAGGTCATTAGCATTGTATTAATTTGGCCGACAGAGCAGGGAGCGAAAGTGTGCAGTCGAGGCATGTGTGTGGGTATGAGTGAGAGCGTTCCGGTATGGTGAGGGGAAGGGGGAAGAGAGGTGTTGTTGGGTTGTTGGATGATTGTGAGCTCCCCCTTTACCAAATCGTTGATTGGTCAGACTAGACAGAAGGAAGAAGAGGGGGGAGAAAGCAGAGGATTTGGTGAGAATTAGATTTTTCTCAGTGCAGCAATTGTTTGACTTGTGAAATGGTGGCTGGGAGATGTAACTGGTGAAGTCTCAATGGGAGGCTGATGATGTGGTAAAATTGCACCATGCAAACTGGTCAGTGGAAACCAAAATAGAGTTATGATATGAGCAGGAGGGGAATTAAACGTGAGAAGCAAATCAGCTTAGGATATGAGGGATTTTCTCTGTTAATGCAGCAATTTCATCCGCAAAGGTCAAAAAAAGGAACTGTGAGCTACAGAACATCAAAAAACGAGTTCTTAAAGGAATGCATGTTAGTCATTAAAATTATCTAATTTTCATTAGACTGCAAAAATAAATCAACTCTCAATAATGGTTCAACTTTATCATAGGCTGCTTAATTTTGATGGTTATTATACACAATCAAGATGTGTGGGTAGTTTTTTTAACATTGGCAAACCATATCAGTTTTATCTGTATCAAGGTTTAACTGCAAAATTTAAAACAAACATTTCTGGAAGCCATTTTTTATAATATTGTTATTTTTAAAAGTGTTGTACAAAATACAGACTTAATATTTACTCATGTTGGTATAGTTGCAATGTATTTAACGTATTTAATGCCAATCAAGTTATTTTCAAAGGACTGCAAAAAATATATCCAGTTTATTTCTGTTACTCAGACACATTGTTACTTTTCAATTATATACAAATATAATCAATAATAAAAATGAATAAATTTAACTTTATTGATCTCACAATGGAGAAATAAACTCTCTGCACCCGATTGTAAATGTATTGCAAGTTTATTGATGAGTTTATGTATTTGACCAATTAAAAGTATCCATATCAGGATGTTGAGCTATTTGCATTGACTTTCTGACTTTTTAGCATTTCCTGGCACTAATAAACTGGTAGTGACAGCTGAAAGGAACCACACTGTTTACAGTGTGAATGGCCATCAGATGCCACTGATTAGAGGTTTCAGTAGGCAGAGAGCAAACACAAAAAAAATGTAAACAAAACACTGTTTAAATCTGTTTAGAGAAAAGAAATCTGGATACTGGAAGCAGTTGCTTAATTAGTGAAAATGTCTACGAAAGAAAAACAGATGAGATGAAAAACAGGGAGATTTTCTTTTTTTGCTTTTTATCGTCTTACAAAAGCAAGACAGAAATGTATATTAGCTATGGTAAATGACCTGTATACATGTTGAGCTTTTTCAAGTCAGGAGACTTGACCAAAGCGCTTTACTCTACATTCAGTCGTTCACCCATTCACTCACACACTGATTGTGGTGAGCTATATTGAAGCCACAGCTTCCCTGGGGCTCACTGACAGAAGCGAGGCGCCACCATCTGACCGCCATCAGTAGGCAAACTCCTTCATTCGACGTCACTGTTAAGCAGGTAATTATGACTTAACTAAAATGTTGGTTCAGCAGCTGTTATTATCAGTCCTGTTCAATCTCACACCCAAAATGGTAAGGCCAACATATCTGTATGAGTTGCATTATGAATGAATGTAACATATGCATAAATTTCATTAGTTAAGGGGTTGAGAAATGTTGTGTTTTGTCTGCAGTGATTTAGGCTTGAGCCACATTGAGAAGTTAAACAATAGTAATGCATAAAGTCAAACTTCTAGCAAGCTAATTTTCTCAAACCCAAAGGTTGAAGTTGTCATGAAGTTCCTTAAGATTGTTTCTCTTTTTGCAGAAGGACCTGGTCCAAGAGGCACAGCCATATGAGTTAAAAAGCTAAATTAACTAAAAATGTAGCATTAACATCAATATAAATTTACATAATAAAAGTCATACAACAGGTACAAATGCTTTTATGGAATAACTGTGACACTATTCCTTTACAGAAGGCTATAAGAGCCTTTAACTGTCTCAGGGTGACATATTAGGATACAGCTCCATCACCTTTCAGACAAAAACAATCACAGAATAATATTTGCGTATTCAATTATAGCTTAACTGAAATCTCAGTATCTATTTTAACATCCAAATGTTCTCAAACACGTTCTTAAAACATTGCAAAAATATTATCTGAAGAGGTTTTTCTGAGAAACAAAACAATTCACCTTTATCCAGATCAAAAAACCTGCTAGGCTTGCCAGCAGCCAGCTACAGAAACAGGATGTGATGAAGAGAGGTCACATGTCTGATCTATACAAAGATGCACTGTAGATGTTTGCATACTATTCTAAAAAAAAAATATGTCTGCATCTAAAGCGCATTTATATTATATGAACAGATTATTTTGAAAGAAATGGGCCTAACATTGAGCCTTGAGGACCTCCAGTTGAATCAGAAAACTTACTATTTTAATCTGCAGTAAAAAAAACAAATGTTTATTTAACCGTCTCCAACTTCAGAACAAATTCTGATTGTTGTTTCTTTTTAAATGATAGAAAAATGTTTCTTAATTCATTAGTTCAATTAATTATAATTCCTACTCATTAGCATAGGTTTAAATACATTCTACCCATATAAAATGCATAGCCCTACCGCTTTTTAAAATGACTGGTTAAATGTTTACAGTTTGTTAAATCAGTGTGTAGTTATCATGCGTTGCCCTCTGACACAAACAGAACTGGGTGTGATGAAGAGAGATGACCAGCATAAACAACAACACGCCACTTTGACAGTTCAGATGACTTCAAGAAATTTTCTCCAGTAGAACAGACAGATGAATACAAGAGAAGCAATAATATTTGGCTTTAAAATGACCCCTGAACACCTGCCAGGAAGCTGGAGGGGTTTGTGTTTGCAGACAGCATCCAGTCCAGAGTGCTCCGACTCTTCCTTCATTCACAAACTCCCGGCAGTGAGCTGTAAACTGCACCACATGTGTGTGTGAGTGCGTTGGAAATGGTGGAATATATCTCTGCTTACCTGGTTATTCCTTTTCGATGCGACACACGGAGCGCGGCTGCGTCTCTTCTTTCTCGCGGCCAAAGCGCGCTTTTGCTGCTCTGCTGTTTATTTACTCGCAGTCCCGTTCAGTGACGAGCCTCCTGCACTTGCCTCCTCCTTTGCCTCACTGGTCCTCTCTCCTCGCTTCCTCTCTCTCCACTTCACACGCGCACACGCTGTGACACGCGGGCGGGGGCGCGCAGCAGCTGTGCGCACGCGCTGCGCTGTAGCGCCGCTTCTGACGCGCGGTGGCCTCCAGGCACTGAGCCGCTCTAACAAATGGTCTAACAAATATACAAGCTATTAGTGCTTCAGCCTCTGCGGGCTCTGGACATAACAGCTGGACAACAGCTGGACTGGGGTTCATTTTTTTTTTCTGTATAAAAAAAAAAGGCCAAAAGTTATCCTTTTAAAAGCAATAATGCCCTTTGCCTGTTATTTAACATCAGGGAGCAACATTTATGTAGAGAAGCTGGCTCCAGTTTTGGCATTCTGACTGACATAATCTCAGGGGGGAAAAAAATGTTACAAAGCCTCCTCTGACATTTATGCAATTGGTACAACCCAAGAGTAAAGTTAATATTGACATGTGAATAAGTTACCCCTTTTGTCATATTTATATTTTTTATTTTGAGAGTAGGACAAGTTAGGATGAACATCTTGAAGATTTTAATTAGGAAAACCTGAAAACGTACAGGGATTAAACCAGGAGAACAAGTGTGA